GTTCCAGCCCAGCACTTCACTCCAAAGTAGTAAAATGTGTATCACTTAAGAATAGCTATTTTCCCATATAAGAATGATCAATATCCCACCTAAGGAATTTAACATTGATAGAGTAAAATTTATTTTCTGTCTATTTTGTGGTACTGGAGATCAACCCAGGGATGTTCTACCACTGAACTACATCTCCAGCCCATTTTATATTTTATTTTTTTATTTTGAGACAGGGTCTTACTAGGTTGCTTCGGGCCTCACTAAGTTGCAGAAGCTGGCCCTGAACTTGTGATCCTCCTGCTTTAGCCTCCTGAGTCACTGGGGTTACCCACACGAAGCATCGATGATTTCCCGATCACAACATTCCTCTGTATTTATTAGATAACATTTTTTTCTGTAAAATTTCTTACCCTGACCATTTTTCTTAGTTGCACTCCATGGTTTATACTGCCCTGCCATCTTTTTTCTTTCTGGTGCTCACATTAACCCAGAGTTGGAGGTGAAACCCCTGCAGGCTGGTTCCCGTGTCCTTCAGACGTACATAGTCCTGCCAGTTATTCCTCTTGGGTGGGAAGTGCTTCACAGTCACCTAACCTTGTCCTTGCTACCACTTCTCCAAAAGCATAGGTTCCTTCTCAGTGGGGAATGTATTTACAAATTAAGATCTGGATGCCAGGTTAGCTCAGTGCTACTGAGGGCATTGCTTTCAGGCCTTTCCAGTGGACAGAGCTGGGACATGGTGGTGGTGGTGTTGTAGTTTTGGAACTGGGCACCTGACCACTGAGCCACATCCCCGGCCCTCACTAGGAGTAGCCTAGTGCCTTACTTTTGCTGAGACTGGCTTTGAACTCATGATCCTCCTGCCTCAGCCTCCAGAGCGCTGGGATTACAGGCTTGTGTCACTGTGCCCTGCAGTTCCCCCCACCCCTTTTGACACAGGGTCTTGCTAAGTTTCTTAAGGGTTACTTGAGCTTTCGATCCTCCCAATCCTCCTGCCTCAGCTTCCTGATTTGCTAGGATTAAGTTATGTGCCACCAAGATTGGTTTAGGATGTCATTTTTAAATAAAACTAGACTGCTTCTGTTTTTTTTTTTTTTTTTCAGGAGTTTCTTATATACTTTGTAGAGGTAGGTGAAAACTAGGGGTTGGAGTTTGAAAAATTCCAGAGACTAAAGTTATATCGACTTTTCTCAGCTTTGCTTTCCCATAATCCTCTAGGAAGCTAGGTTTTCTTGGCTCACATTATGTAGAATCCTTTGGCCTTAGATATCTCTAAACACGGGCCAGGGAGAGCGAGACTCCTTAGGCTACTTAGCTAATATTGAACAAAGAACTTTGAGGTGTTTTCTTTCTCAGGGCCAAAAGAAAAGTGGGACTTGGTCTTTGCCTGTGGCCAGCAAGGAAGGCATTTGGTGGCAGAGTGCTGGGACTTGGAGAAGGGAAGGTACTGTCCACCCTGAGGCAGCTCTAGAGAGAGGCGGGGGAGGTGGAGGCCTTGAACCTTGTCTGGTCCACCCCTAGGGGCGGGCGGTGTCTGCCAATGGGAGCCTGGAGGCCACGGTGCCCTAGGGAGGGGAGGCTTTTTTAAGTTCCAGCTTGGTCCTGTGGGTAATGTCTCCAGTTGACTCCATTTCAAGAACTTAAATATACTGGGGGTATTTAGAAAATCTTCTAATTCAGGTCCTCTACTGAGAGAGAATGAGTACCTTTTTTTTGTTCGAATACTTGTGCACTTAAATTCTTGGTGTTATAGTGCTGTAATGAACAAAGCTAGGGGTTTTTGTTTTTGATTTTAAGTGTATAATTTAAAAATCGGTTTAGGTGGTTTTCAGTGTTAATATGGAACAAATGAAGTCAGTGATTTCAGGTTTTCTTACTAGAATTGCTCATTTGTTCAGTACTTAATGCTCCCACACTCCCAGGGCCTCCTGAGGCTTATCCAAGGTGTGATCAGCAGTGAGACGCCTCTCAGGTGTTAATGGAAAGAGGCACGAGAGCCCGACACTTTGTCAGGGTCCTGGCCCTAGTGGAGCTGAGGAGACGTGGAGTGGAGGAGGAGGTCAGGGCAATGACGTGAAGAGTGTGTTTTCCACTCTCAAAGGAAGGACATCAACAGGCACATGTGCTCAGTCACCCACGTGGGTCTCGCCTCCCTTCCAGGCTGTCCCGCTGCGACTCTTATCACTCCAGTCTTCCTTCCTCCCTGTCCCCTGAAGAGAAGGAGAGGCCCAGGAGGCCTTGTGTGCCAGTGTCCCTGTTGGTGACCCTGGCTTTCCCTCCTGCCTTTGAGGTGTGGTCCCTGCCTGCCGGGAGCTTCTTTGTGCTTCTGTGTTCTCTCTCTTGGACATGCTGTCATTGCTGATGTGACAGCTCTGGGGGCTCGGCCTGAGCTGCTGCTTCCCCCAGCAACCTCTGTCCGCCGAGTTCTGTTCTCCCCCTCCACCTCAGTGGAACCTGTGCATCTTCAGGACACTCCCGCCTTCCGCCCCCGAGTTCTTGGTGTCAGCTGCCTCCCTGGCTCCCCTCTGCTGCCTAGTCTGGTGGACCTTATAAGCCAGTTACTTGGTCACATAAGGCTAGCAAGTGGGACTCATCTGGAAGTGAGGGCGACTCTGCAAGGAACTGCAGCGGGGGCTCCTGGGAGTTCCTGTGGTCCCCCATGCCCTCTGGAGCCTCGTGGCAGTGCCGTGGTCTGCATTTTGCTTGCTGCTCAGGTGAGCAGGCCTGCTGTGGGTGAGCAGGAGCTCGTGCACGGAAGGCCATGGCTCCTTGCTGGACAGAGCTTTGGACTGCTTGCACCTGTCAGAGGTAGAATCGAGCCATTTGTGCCATTTTCTCATGAACTCACTCCATAGATGTCTTCCTAAAGTTTGGTTTAGGTTGTGATGAATTTAAGATGGGAAGTCACAGAACCTATCCTCCCATTTTTAGTCCAGTCCCACAGAGGAATGGCATCTGTCACCTGGGCACCATCATTACCCTGCTTTTCCTCCTTCATGGGTGGGGACAGCAGAGGAGATCCTGGGCCATCTATGGCTAGACTGCTCCCTGCATCCTGTGGCATCTGTGCCATGTACCTGGGCTGCGACACCTGGGTTAGCTGTGCTTCCAGCAGTGTCTCTAGCTCAGGGATCTTTGTAGATTGCTGCGGAGTAAACTAAATCTGCTGCTTCGGTGCATTTTCCAAATGTCGTCCCAAATTATGTAGCAAGTCTTACATTTTATTTTGAGATACTTGTAAATCACAGTATATTAATAGTATATTGTCACAAAAAATAACATGGAAGAATCCTGCCCAGTCTTCACCCATGTCCCCTGTGGCGACATCTTGGGAATGAAGGAATACAGCATTGTGGTCAGGGTGCTGGCGTCCTGCAGCCACACCTACATCTCTTCTGAACCCTGGCAACTGAAAGTCTGATCCCGGTCTCTTTAATTTTGTCTTTCCAGGAGTGTTAGTGAATGGGACCGCAGCATGGAACTGTCCTTGCCCAGCGTAGTTTCCTGGGGATCGTCCAGGTCATTGCGTGGACAGTGGCTCAGCCCTTTCCATGGCCAGCAGTGGGCTGTGGTTGTAGGTTGCCCAGTATTTACTCGGTGGAGGACCCTGGGTTGATTGTAGGTTGGGATGTTGGGAGTCCAGCTGCCTGGAGGGTCTGTGCATGTGGCCTTTGTTCCTCTGGGACAGATGCCCAGGAGGGTGGTGCTGGCCCCGGCTGTGTGGCAGCTGCCTGTTTGGTGCTAAGAAAGTACCCAGCTGTTTCCTGGTGACACCATTTTTCATTCTTGCCGGCAGTGTCTGGGAGCTGTCTCTCCACATCTTACCAGCACGTGGTGGGCTGTGTTTTGTCATTCTGGTAGATCTGTGGCGAGACCTCCTGTGGCTTCAGTATGGGTTTCTGTGATAGCTCATTGCTCGATTGACCATCTCTTTACCTGCTCTTTGGTGAGATGTCTGTGGCTTATTTTCTAACTGTTGAGTTTTTAAAAATTACCATGTTAACTCCCTTCCTGCCTCTGAGCAGGACCTTGCAGGTTGCCCTGGCCATTCTCGGGTGAGCGGTGCTGACCGTGCGCGTTGCTGTGCAGCTCACTGCGTTAGTTGGGTTCTGTGTGTTCTGTGTGTTCTCTTTCCCAGAGAACGTGGTCTGTGAGTAGTTTCTGTCTGTGACTTGTTTTGTCTTCCTCTTAACAGGGACTGTAGGAAAGCAAAAGTCTTTGGTTTTGATGAAGTAAATTTTTCCTTTTACAGATTGGTTTTTGGGTGCATAGTTTTATGTTTTGCTTAAGTCTATGGTTTATCTTGGTTTCTGTTCATTTGTCTTCTGTTTTTGCAGTGCTGGGATCATAACCAGGGCTTTCAGCATGCTAGATGAGCAGTTCTATTTTGGGTTAATTTGTACATAAGATGTGAGGTTTAGGTCAAGGTTTAAGTCAAGGTTTTGTGCATGATTAGCATGCGCAGGGCCGTGGGTTCCATCCCCAGCACCAAAGAAAGAAAAAGAAAAAGGGAAACATCATTTGGGTATATTTGTTTGAGTCTAGTTCTGGGTTCTGTCCCATGGAGCTGTGTGTCTGTCCATCAATACTATGTAACTGCTGTGTAACCATAGCTACACGTAAGCCTAAAGACCCGGGGCGGGAGTCCCTCCAGTTCATTCATTTTCAGTAATCATTTTAGCTTACTAAGCATGTACTCTAGTTCCTTCGCTTTTCCATCTAAGTTGTAAAATAATCTTGCCTGAGGCTCCAAAGTATATTTGCTAGAATTTTGGTAGAAGTCATGTTTAGCCTGTATCTATGTGGACAGAATCGACATCTCACCAGACTGTCGTGAATGCGGACGTCTTTTCCAGGTTAGTGAAAGCTGCAGGTGACCAGCCCAGCTGTGGCACCTTCTGTGGGCACGTGCTGAGGTTGAGCACTCCTTCCCTTTTGGGCAAGGAGAGACTGAAGTTGGGACTTCATTCACTTCCTCACCTTTTTTTTTGGTTTGTTTTTATCCATAGGCCTATGAAAGGAGGTTCCCTACCTGTCCGCTGATTCCCATGTTTGTGGACAGTGACACTGTGAATGAATTCAAGAGCGAAGACGGGGCCATTCACGTCATTGAAAGGCGCTGCAAGCTGGACATAGACGCACCCCGGCTGTTGAAGAAGGTAAGTGCTCAGGCCTGCCGGAAGGCGTTGGTCCCAGAGATAGAGAATTTATGTTTCCAGCTTCTGTCACAGTGGTGTTAATAATAAACCCTTTTCTCTTTGTTTCTTTTTTAAAGATTGCAGGAGTTGATTATGTTTATTTTGTCCAGAAAAACTCTCTCAATTCTCGGGAGCGCACTCTGCACATTGAGGCCCATAATGAAACGTTTTCCAATCGGGTCATCATTAACGAGCACTGCTGCTACACCGTGAGTGCACAGCCCTGGGTGGAGCCCGCCAGCCGGGAGGCACGGGGGCACGGCTTCCAAAGGTGGTCAGCCATCGCTGGAACGGCGTGCCTCTTTGTCCTGGGGTAGTTCTTTGCCATATATTTCCTGTTAGCAGTTCTGAAGGGGATCAGCAGTGGCAGGTGTGGCTTCCTGCAGGCAGGATTGCACTGTGGTGGCAGTCATAGCCAAGTCATTCCACTGCCATGCTCTGCTACTTGAGAAATGCATTCTGAAGAGCAAGATGGTGTGTGTGTTTGAGTTTAGAGCTGGGAGCACACGTTGGCTGTCACCTTCACTGCCGACCACCCTGCTTAGAGCTGCTCTCACTAGGTCATTAGAGTGGCCTCCTGCGTGGTGTGTCTGCTGCCGCCTTAGGCACCTCCAGTGTAACCTTAATGCTGAACCCACAGTGATCTGTTTTAGGATTGTCAAGTTTTATCACTGAGCTCACAACCCAGTGCTTCCACATGACCCTCAGAGAAAAGCACGAGTGCTTGCTGTGGCCTAGGAGGGCCGGTTCCCCCTCAGTCACGTGTCTTGGGTCCCTCCGTCCTTGTACATGGCTGCCAGCACGCTTGCTGCTCCCCAGCCTCCCGAGGACTTCCCCAGCCCTCCTTCAGGTTTGCCCAGATCCCAGATCCCTGTTCCCAGTGGCCAGTCGACAGCGCGGCCTGCAGCCCTCCCCGGTCCCCTTAACCCACTCCACGCTTTCCCCATGGCCCTGATCTTCCAGCAGTTGGAAGTTCCTCACCTTTCTGTCCAAGGCTCGTGGCCGTCTGTCTCCTCGTGAGGCTGTCAGTGACACTGAAGGGTCTTTCCTTCATTCCTAATGGGAGAGCGGCTCTGTGTGTAGGGAGGTGAAGGACTGGGCAGGGGAGGACGGAGCGCTCCTCTCAGGCCACGGTGGTGTCTTGGAGTTCGAGTGGCCCTGGGCGGTCGAGCCCTCTGTAACCCTCCTTGTACTGTCTCCATGGGAGTAGCTCTGTTGTAAGAGAACTGCTCCTTCTGGTCGCTGGCAGAGGGGAGCAGACCAGGCCTCGCTGCCGCACACAGCAGGCCTTCTCTTCACCCGCAGGTTCACCCTGAGAACGAAGACTGGACCTGTTTTGAACAGTCTGCAAGTTTAGATATCAAATCTTTCTTTGGTTTTGAAAGTACAGTGGAAAAAATTGCCATGAAACAGTATACCAGCAACATTAAAAAAGTGAGTCTCTGGGACTTCATGGGAAAGGGAGGGCCGCAGTCTCCTGAGGTGTCTGAGCTTGTCCTCTGGAAGGCCGGGAGCCCGTCACTCGGGGGATAGAAATGTGCTTCCACCCTGCCCTGGGCCTTCTGTTTAGCCCTACGGGGCTGGGGGTGCTGGCTCCTGGTGGAGTGAAGGAGGTACAGGCGGGTCACTCCTGGCCACCACATTCTCTGCTTGGAATTGTGGGAACATGGGAAGTTAGGGTGAGGAGGTCGCACCCCTGGGTTCCACTTGTGGGTCTGCTGATGGAAGTCCTGTGAGTTGAGGAGATTCGTGGCAGGTGGCCAGGCAGGGCTCCCTGGACCTCCTCAGGTGCTGCCGCTCACTCTCTGGGAGCTGTGGGTCGTGGTTTTAAAGCTGTGGTGGGGGGTGGGGGGGGCTCTCGAAGGTTGTTGTGTTTTCGGGTACTGTGTTAGAATTGTGTTCAGTACAAGTGTGTCTGATAGATCAGTGTTCTAGATTAGTTTTGGGCATGCTACCTCCAAGCTATATCTCAGCCCTCAGTTTTTGGTAGTTACCTCACAAATTGGTAAGGGACAAATAATTGAAGTATTGACTCTGCACTCACCTTAACCTTGGTCTCCTCCTAAGGGGAAGGAAATCATTGAGTACTACCTTCGTCAGCTTGAAGAAGAGGGCATCACCTTCGTGCCGCGCTGGACCCCACCTTCCATCGGGCCTTCTTCAGAGACGTCCTCGTCCAGCAAGAGTCAGGTGGCCTCCACGGCTGTTGTGGTCCCAGAGGCTGCCCTCAAGGAGGGGCTGAATGGAGAGGTCCTCAGCAACCCTGGAGGGACCCCTGAGCCCACGGTGGGAACCCCTGATGGTGGGTCTGAAGAAGGCTCCATTCTTGCGGCTAGACCAGGAGTCGTGTGGGCCTTTCCTCTCTACTGCTCTGCCTGTTCCTGTTTCCTCTCGACACACAGCACCACGTGGAGAAGGAAGGCCATTTGTTGTTTCTGGTCTCGTTTCCTTGTCCTGTAGCTTATGTGATACATTCGTATGATTTTTTTTTCTTAGTTTTTGTTTTTAATGGGCAGAAAAGGTTATTTCTGGTTATGTTCTTATTGGGACCAAAAGATGTTTCAGGTTAGTTGCAGGTGCCTGAGGTGAGCACGGGCCATCAGTGCTTTCTCCTAGAACTCCCACCGCTGGACACCTCACTCGCTCAGGTGCCAGGGACTGTCCAGGCACTGAGTGGAGGGTGCTCACGCCATTATGGCTCCTTCTGGGTGGGAAAAGCTGAAGATGCTCCCTGTGTTTACATTAACTGAGGCAGAGACATGACCTGGGAGTCGGTCCAGGGCTGAGACTGTGCCCAGGTGGACGGGCTCAGGGACTGCTTTAGCCACTTGGCATGTGCTGAGAGTAATGCCCATTGTTAATAGTTCAGAAAACACAGGAAAATAAGAAAGATAAGAATGTTCTGCCATTCAGAAAGTTCATTAAAATATCAGTATCTCTTCATACTTTTGTTTTGTACCAGGCACTTTATCACTGAGCCACACCCCCAGCCCTTTTTTATTTTAGAGACAAGGCCTCTCCAAGTTGCTGAGGCTGGCCTTGAACTTGGGGCACAGGGCTCCTTGTGATCCTCCTATCTCAGCCTCTTGAGCTGTTGGGATTACAGGCGAGTGCCGCCATACTCGGCTTTGCATACATTCTGTTGGCAGCTAACTGTGCCGTTTGTTGACTTTCAACAGTTTGCTGGGAGTGGGGATGATTTGGGGATATGTTTTATTTTTCACCTTGTGAATATTTTTTTGTTGTACTTATTTTGCTATCTCATCTGTCCAGTGGTACCTTATCTGGAGAAACTGTGTTCTTGAACACGGTAGCTAGATCCTTAACGAAGATTTAGATCTGCTTGGTTGTTTCATTTCATAATTTTATATCATGGAAGGGCTTTGTCACTTTGAATTAAACCAGTCATTGAATGTCTTCTCTAGTCATGGTGATGTCATGAGTGGCATTGTGGCTAATTGAATTGAGGTAATTCAGTGGTAATCAGGGAAAGGTAGCTGAGTCAGCAGGCTCACCTCTGGTTCTGTGGTGTCTTAAAGACGTCACTGAAATTCTCCAGGGTGGTTGCTTTAAATGTGTCCTCTCTGTAGTCTCCTTCACCCCAAGACTCTAGCCCCACCTGGCACCACTGGGCAACGAGAGCCTCAGGAACAGAGTTCGTCTTTGCAAATGGTGCCATGTGGTTCCCTTTGCAGACAAACTCGATGCCGATTACATCAAGAGGTATCTGGGTGACCTGACCCCACTCCAGGAGAGCTGCCTTATCAGGCTTCGCCAGTGGCTCCAGGAAACCCACAAGGGCAAGGTGAGTGTTGGCCCCCAGGCTATGTGGCCTGCCATCTCTGGTCCTGTGGCAGCTGGAGAGGTCATCCCCACGGGAGTGTCGCCAGCTGGAGCCCACGTGCCCGGCAGCAGGTTGGGCTGCCCTTCCTCGTGTGCATGGCTGCTGCTCTGTGCGCTGTTGCTGAGATGGTCTGCTCAGAAACAGTCGGTCATCAAGTGGCAGAGTAGCATGATGTTCCAGATAGCCATGCATTTTAAATTTTGAAAAGATTCGGAAGGAGGTCAGAGTTTTATCCAAGATTAGAAATGTTTGAGCTTTAATTCTGAAGTTTTATGTGAAATTGTAGCCACATAAGAAATTTGCTTTTAATAACAAGTTTATGTAGCAAGCATAAAGGTTACTTAGTGGCCCAGTGCAGGAAGCAGGCACCTGCACACAGTTTTTCCGGTCTTTAATTCTGTCCGTCCTGGTTGCATGAGAGCTTTTTTTTTTTTTTTTTTTTTTTTAATAGTTGCAGATGGACAGAATACCTTTATTTTATTTATTAATTTTGATGTAGTGCTGAGAATTGAACCCAGTGCCTTACGCATGCTAGGCAAGCGCTTTGCCACTGAGCTACAGCCCCAGCCCCCGAGAGCTTTTTAACACCAGTCATTAGGAAAAGAGCTACTGTTGGTGTCTGCTGACCGTGTGTCAGACATGCTTTTAGCTCTTCCTGTAGTCTTCCCAACAGGCCTAGAGGTGGGTGCTGTTCCATCATCTCCTTCTTTCAGAAGGTCCAGAAACCAAGGCATGGAGAAGTTAAGCAGCTTGCTCAAGGTCTTAAGCTAGGAAACAGTGGGGCCAAGATTTGAACCAAGACCATGTGGTTTCAGCACCATATTCCTGTTTATTTATTAGATACAGGATATTCAACCTAGGGGTGCTCTTCCACTGAGCCACATCCCCAGCCCCCTTTTATTTTTTATTTTGAGGCAGGGTCTTCGTAAGTTGCTGAGGCTGGCCTCCAACTTGTGATCCTCCTGCCTCAGCCCCCCCGAGGTGCTGGGATTATAGGTGTGTTCCCACATTCTTAACCGCTTCCATGTGCCTGTGCTGCTTTCCAAGTGAAGATGATGCCAAATCACTGCACCCTATGCTTTGATTATGTGCCAAGGTGGGATACCACGCAGACTCTTGCTCCCACTCTCTTCATGGTCTCTGGATGGTCTGGCTACCTGCATTAGTGAACAGGTGGCCACAGAGGGAAGAGACCTGGTCCAAGTGAGACTCAGATCCTGGACTCAGCCTTCTTCTTTTTTTTTTTTTTTTTTTTTTTAGAGAGAGAAATTTAATATTTATTTATTTTTAGTTCTCGGCGGACACAACATCTTTGTTGGTATGTGGTGCTGAGGATCGAACCCGGGCCGCACGCATGCCAGGCGAGTGCGCTACCGCCTGAGCCACATCCCCAGCCCAGCCTTCTTCTTTATTCAGGGTGACCAGGCTGATTGACAGGGTCTTGAGAAGGTTCCTGCATGTCAGCAGCACCCCCACACTGCCAATCCCAGCATGGTTTAATTCTGACTTTTAGTAGAATCTCCATGCAGAAGCGCACAGGGCACAATGGTATGCGGTCGCATAGCTTGGAACTGTTGCCTGTGTTTCAGACATTGTGCCTTCACATTGCCCAGACTGAAAGGGTGCTTTAGGAAGATCACTAGAAAAATCAGATACTGATTTTTTTTTTTAATTAAACATCAGGCCAAGATTTTTCTGGGAATAGCTAATTTTATTTTTTTCCGGTGGTGGAGAGCAAACCCAGGGCCTCACACGCTGGGCAGTGCTGTACCACTGAGCTGCTCCCTGCCCCAGCAGCAGCTCCATCTAAACAGCATGAAGGTGCAGGTTACTGTTGAGAAGAGATGGAGTTTGAGTCCCGGTCTCTTAGCAACAACAAACCTTCCCCCGGACCACCAGTCCTGGGGTTGGACCCAGGAATGTTGTACCACTGCATCACACCCCAGTCATTTTAAAAACTGACATTTTGAGGCTGGGCAACTCTTAACAGTCTTAAAAGCATCTTTTCTTCTCCCAGATCCCAAAGGATGAGCATATTCTTCGGTTCCTACGCGCTCGGGATTTTAACATCGACAAGGCCAGAGAGATCATGTGTCAGTCTTTAACATGGCGGAAGCAGCACCAGGTGGACTACATCCTGGACACCTGGACCCCACCCCAGGTGCTTCAGGATTACTACGCGGGAGGATGGCACCATCACGACAAAGGTGGGTGGCACTGCGTCTCCCCGTCTGTTGCCATCTTGTCTCCCCGTGGGGCATCCGGGAGCTCCGCAGAGAGCCAGGGGCCTGCAAGGCATCGCCCTCCTCTCCTGGGACCTGGAAGCGCTCTCCAGTGTGAGCCAGCTGGTGAGACCCTCCAGCACACTCCTGTCCCTCCTGGGCAGCTGAGGGAGGGCAGTGGCTTTGGCTCCTTCCTGGAGTTGCCCTGGGACAGTGACTTTACTTCCATTCTCAGCTCTGTGGAGTCTGTTTTGACATATTAAAAACTCAAACGTTGGGCTCAGGCTGTGGCTCAGTGGTGGAGTGCCTGCCTCACACGTGTGAGGCACTGGGTTGATCCTCAGCCCCATGTAAAAATAAGAAAACATAAAAAGATATCGTGATCATCTATAAGAAAAATATTTTAAAAAGCCCCAAAACTCAAATGTTGGTGACAGAGTGTCTTTAGCAGCACTGTGCTTATAAAAAGGATTTAATGACTTACGCCTTCCAGTAGCTGTAACATGTGCAGCCAGGCCTCCATATCAGAATAGTGGAGAATTGCGGTTTCTCTCAGGAGCAAGTAGACCAGAGACACAACACTCAAAGTGGGGGTGGCTGTCCCTTTGCATGCTGGCCCCCGCGGGAGTGCCGGCCTTGTCTTGCGATGCTTTCCACCTGGGCTGCAGGTTGGTGGTTGGACAGAATTGAATCCCAGTCATTGGAGGGAGGCTGCAGGGACTGCTGTGGAACTGGCTTCCTCTTCTGTCTCTGAACAAGTCCTTTCAGAACTATAATACTCCAGTCTGTCCTGTTTTTCTAATTGGCTATTTATTTACTAGTATTAGGGATTGAACCCAGTGGCTTTTCCACTGAGTCACATCTTCAGCCCTTTTTATTGTGAGACAATCCCTCACTAACCTGCTGAGGCCAACCTCAAACTTGTGATCTTCCTGCCTCAGCCTCCCAAGTCACTGGTGTGCCATTGCACCCAAATTGTTTTTCTTCAAAGTAACTGTGGCTTTATTGGTTGTAACTGGAAACATTTGTATTTATTTCACTACATGACTGGAACCTTAAAAGGTTAAAAAGTTTTGTAGTAAGACATGGACAGATGTGTCTCATATAAATGTTGGAAGAGGGACCCAGGTATGGTGGGACGCACCTGTGATCCCAGCTGCTCCCCAGACTGAGGCAGAAGGATTGCAAGTTCAAGGCCAGACTCACTAACTTAGCAAGATTGCTGCAAAAGAAAAGAAAAAAGAAAGGGCTGTGGCTGCGACTCAGCGACAGAACACTGGCTTCAGTCCTCCAGCACCACCTGAAAAAGTGTTGGTACAAACTTTTTGTAAACTTGCTTTTCTACAAGATTTGGGGTCACAGAAAACTTCTTGGCTTAGTAAACAGATGTGGAACCAGCTGTTCCCTAAAGGCGAGGTCAGCCCCGGCAGGACCCATGGCAGACGCTGCCTCCCTGCAGGACGATCCTGCTGCTCTCCCTTCAACCACAGGGCGGCAATCTGAGAGGTGTTGGCCGCTGCATACACTCTGGCCCTGGGATCATCTTCCCCTGTGTGGCTGGCTCGCGATGACAGGGTTGTGGGATGAGTTAGGTTCCTCTCAGGCTCCCTCCGTTAGATCTGTAGGTTATGGAGACAGAGTCAGCGTGTGCTGATTGGTGTCCAGAATGTTCCCATTTTTCTTGGACTTCAGTGGAAATTGAGGAAGACTGACTTGTAAAAATCTTATTAATTTATTGGAAACTTATGAAATTAAAAAGGCTTATTTTTCTGAGAAAGGAGACTTGAACTGAATTCGTAGAAAAATCCTAGGTATTCGGAAGTCTCCTCTGGGCTCTTGCTAAGCCCTGTGTGCGAGCGAAGCAACCCAGTCTGACGGCTATCGCGCAGGACAGGCTGGGCTTGGGCTCGGCCCTCCTCCCGGCAGCACCATCTCCAGGCTCTGCTAAGCTGCACCATTATTTGTTTTTTTCTTTTGTGACTTTTGGGGGAAATGTTGGATGCCAACCCCACCCCTGTCCCCACACTGAAGCCAGCTGCTGCTTAGCAGAGGGGAGAGCTTGGGTCTGTCAGAACACTCCAGAGCTCACCTGCTTCCCAGGAGTCCTGTTTGCGGGGCTGGGGTGCAACCCACAGCCTTGCTCCCGGTGGGTGCTCTTCAGCTGCACCACCTCCAGCCTGGAGCCAGGGGTCCCGGGGGTGTCCTGTGCCCCACACAGGGACCCTCTGATTGCTTCCTCCCCTGCAGACGGACGGCCTCTCTACGTGCTCAGGCTGGGGCAGATGGACACCAAGGGCTTGGTACGAGCCCTGGGTGAGGAAGCCCTGCTGCGATACGTAAGTCCTGGCTGCTGCTGGCCTTGCCCTGCGTCCCATGCTGCGCCCCCTGCCCTGGGTGCTTTGCTCTTGCAGTTAGAAAGGAGAGCCTGATGTATGCAGAGACCTCAGAGGAGGACACAAACGTCCTGCAGATGTTTTAACTGCGGGGTCCTCTGCGGAGTAGCCGGGTGTCTAGAGCAGACAGACCCCCCTCACACTCTGCTGCTGGCCTTCTGTGGTTTCCTGTCCTTGCTCCAGGCCGTGGTCATCTGTGCTGTGCACAAGTGCAGATACAGAGGGACTTCTTCCGAGGGAGCACTTGTCACCCCAACATGAAGGGCTGTCCTGGGCTGCCTGGGGCTGTTCTGAGACCTCCTGTGGCATGGCACACGGACACGCCCAGCTCCCTCCTTCCTGCTGTCCAGTTCACCCGTTCTGAAGACCCATCCCAGAGTGGTGGCTCCCTGAGCCCAACCCTCGGTGGCACGACTCTCCCTTCGCCACAGAGGATGGCGTCTGCTCTCTCCTGAGAGCCAGATGGTTGTCCGTGTCGGACCGTGCTCAGCCAGTACGACTGCCAGGATGCTCTGTGGGCAGCCTGCCTGCTCCCCTGTGGTGTGCCCGGTGGGCGAGTCTTGACCTGCCCCGTCTCCATGCCCTCCGTGACAGGTTCTCTCCATAAACGAAGAGGGCCTGAGGCGTTGTGAAGAGAACACGAAGGTCTTCGGCCGGCCCATCAGGTGGGTGGGAGGTGTGCGCTCTTCTTTGGGCTTATTGACAACGTGGATTCCATATTTCTAGTTGGTGTTTAGGACCGAAGTCTGGTAGTTCACTGTTTTCCAGGGAGTTTCAAAACTAGAAAGCAATGAGAGGGACAGCTGCAGGCTTGGTGCTCCTTGCCCCCTAGGCCCGGCTGTCAGGGCATCCCAGCAGGCCCTGTGGGTTGGCCTGGGCAGTGGGCCTTGAGGTCCTCGGGAGCCCAGGAGCATAGCTCCTTTGCTTGTGTGTTTCGACCCCCATTCTCCCAAACTCTCCTGCGTTCCTGAGCTGGCTTCCAGGCTTTGTCAGGTGGGGTGAAAGTGTGCGGGGACGCCAAGGTGGACACGTGGACGGGTGGGGGTGGCTCCTCCAGAGTGTCTGTTCCCCGGGGCAGGGCTTGCAAGGGTGCGTGTTCACTGCTGCCTCTCAGCCCCTCAGAAGGCGCTGGACTCAGTGAACATTTGTTGTGGATAGCTTATTGCAGTGCAAATGCCAACTGTGGGTTACAGTGTCAGATGTGTGCCCTGGGGAGAGGCACAGAGTGTCGGGATGGAGCTTTATGTCTTGCTTGCTAGTCACTGAGCATGTCTGAGAGAGGCTTTTATATGCTGTCAGCCATTCATTGATGGCTTTGATAGTTCAGGGTGGCTCCTACCACATTGAGCCTATGTGTTCTATGTAAGTAGATGTGAATAGAGTTCATAACACTGTAATTCTGAAAACTGGTGATAAGCCAGGCATGGTGGTGTGTGCCTGTAATCCCAGTGATGTGGGAGGCTGAGGTAGGAGGATTACAAGTTTGAGGCCAGCCTGGGCAACTCAGTGAGGCCCTGTCTCTAAATTTTTAAAAATTTTAAAGGGCTGGGGGTGTAGCTTACCGTAAAGCACCCCTGTAGTCAATGCCCGTGTTGCCTAAAAATTGAAAAGCAAAACAAAAAAACCTGATGTATGTTTGGAAACGAGTATAAATGACTGTTTTATAATATTGAAAGAAAAACATTGAATATAGGACCCAGTTTGCCAAGTATGCTGTCTATTGAATAAAACACATCTCTGCACCATCTGCAGTTCCTGGACCTGCCTGGTGGACCTGGAGGGGCTGAACATGCGCCACTTGTGGAGACCTGGCGTCAAAGCCCTGCTGCGAATCATCGAAGTGGTGGAGGCCAATTACCCAGAGACGCTGGGCCGCCTTCTCATCCTCCGGGCACCCAGGGTCTTCCCTGTTCTCTGGACGCTGGTGGGTTTGTGTGATGTTCTGCAGTGACCGTTAACCTTCTAGAAGGCAGATATTTGTGCACTCGCTGCATGTCTGTGTCCTGGAGTCTCAACTAGGTGGGAAAAAGCAAAGTAAGATGCAGAGTGAAACTCAGTTGTTAAAGGGGAGAAAAAGCAAAATGTTTCTGACTGTCCTAATGCTGTGCAGACGGACCTGACAGAGCCCCGTGTCAGACTTTTGCTCTTTGAAAACCAGACAGCAAATCAAACAGCCCGGCCTCTGGCTCCTCACAGGTCAGTCCATTCATTGATGACAACACCAGAAGGAAGTTCCTCATTTACGCAGGAAATGACTACCAGGGCCCCGGCGGCCTGCTGGACTACATCGACAGAGAGATCATTCCAGATTTCCTGAGCGGGGAGTGCATGGTACGTATGAGGAAAGAGGCACACGTTTGTACTGAGGACGTTAGAAGAGTGGTATTGGTTTGCACAGATGACTTCAGAACCTTTAGTGTGGATTTCTTGATTTTTGCCTGTCACCTTTGACCTGAGGTTGAACTGAGGAGAGCCATTCAGATAATTGTTGGTAACACATTTCTTCACGTGAAATTCTAATGGGAATCTTTTAGAATCTATTGTAAGAATAGCTTGCTTTATTAACACAGCCGTGAGTGAATCAGATCTTGTAACTGTTTTAGTTTTTTAAAAAATACTACTACAGCATTGATTCGGTGGGGCACAGCGGCTGAGCAGCTCAGGAGGCTGAGGCAGGAGGATCACAAGGTCAAAGCCAGCCCCATCAACTTTGTGAGACCCTGTCTCAAAATAAAAAACTAAGCAAAATAAAAATTTTAAAAAAGTGTCTGGAGGTGTAGCTCAGTGGTTAAGTATCCCTGGGTTTAATCCCCAGTACCAGAAAAGCAAACAGGGACTCGGGGCTGACAGCGTGGCTCAGGGCTGGAGCACTTGCCTGGCGTGCAGAAGAGCCTGGGTTTCATCCTCAGCACCACCAACAAAACAAGAGCAGTCAAAGCAACGCTGAATCAGCTTTCAAGAGCAGTTCCTTGACAATTACGTAACCCAGGATAACACTTTCAAAGTGGAAAATTGAAGGAAGTGTTTCTCCTTAATTTAAGTTTGGGGTTTTAAAAAAATAAGGTGCTGGATAATCAGGAGCCAAAGGAGCAGGAATCTGGAGGCCTGGAGCCTGCAGTTGCCCAGGGGAGGCCTAAGAAGGCTGGGGCTGGAGGAACTCCGTGGGATGGATCTGTGGGCTCCGTGGTTGCTGAAGTGAGCAAGGGATCGAGGCTGTCATCAGAGCAAGGATCTCTGGGCACCTTCACACTAAAGCTACCCCTTGAGATGTGCACACTCTGGGTTTGACTCCTTTAGCTAAGGAATTGAGCTGTTGAGGGAATCCTTCTCAATGGTTAGAGGACTTTAGGAAACCCAAGAGTTCAGCTCTCAGCTCATCAGTTCCATTTTAAGGAAGCTGCAGGCACCATCACACCACAGTGCAAAGAGCAAGTAAGTTGCAGGATGTGACTTAGTAGGTGCCCCTGAGACCAAACCATGGGGTCAGGTTTGTGGAAACCTACAAACTGCTTTCATCATGAAAAGCTAACCATCTTGTAGTCAGGCATAGTGGTGTGCCCCTGTAATCCCAGAGACTCGGGAGGCTGAGGCAGGAGGATCTCAAGTTTGAGGCCAGCCTAAAATAAACAAAAAGGGCACCATGCTGAAGCACCCTTGGGTTCAGTACCTGGTGCCCAAACAAAACAAAAACAGGTGGAGTCGGGTATCAGACTCTTGGCAGGTAGCACCTGCCTTTGTAACCTGTCCATGCCCGACGCACTCACAGTGCTGAGAGTCCATCTTATTGAGCCTTGTGGGACCCCACATGCCTCCCGGGCAGCCACTCAGCCTGGTTGTCAGAGGGGAGCACTCCTGGGCCTAGAGGGTGTTTTCTAACGTGCCATCCTTGCGGGGACAGTTCCACTTCGCACTGCGGGCCGAGGGTGTGAGCGTTTGCTCTGTGTGGTTGCCTCCCTGGGCTGCTGTCGGGGATTTTATGAACTCTCAGGTGAAGCTGCTGTACAAGGACTCATCAGTTGTCATTGTCAAATAGGACACTGCCTGTTTCTTGCAAATTCAAGTTCTCCTTTATTGATAGCGGGTGATGGTATAGACTGATCGTTTGACCTTGATTATACAGGAAGCTTTATTCGTTGGTAGTAATTGACTATAAATTTGATTATTTTGTTTTTTTCTTTTCTGTGGTGTTGGGGATTGAACCGAGTCCTCATACGTGCTAGGCAGGTGCTCTATCAGTGACCTGCGTAACCAGCTCCAGTTAAGACTTTATGTAAAAATAATGCCTGTAGTTCTTGGGAATAAAACTTTCTTAACATAATGTGTTTCCTTTGTAGTGCAATAGAAAGTCTTCTAATTCCTATAAAAACCAGCTGTAGTAATTGAGTCCAGTACCTCCTGCATATTAGCGTGAATTCTGTGGTAACCATCTTTAACTTGTTCGTGTTTACTCAGAGTAGAACACAGGACTGCAGTGGTTTTCCACAGTAGCTCGCAGGCTGCACGGCCTGCCTGGGCCTTGCCAGGGCTCTGTCTAGATTCCCAGGAGGTCGGTGGGCGCGGACGGGGGCTCGGGCTGTGGGCTGTGGGCACAGCTCTCATGGCTGTGTTTACATTTCCAGTGTGAAGTGCCAGAGGGTGGACTGGTCCCCAAATCTCTGTATAGGACTGCGGAGGAGCTGGAAAACGAAGACCTGAAGCTCTGGACCGAGACCATCTACCAGTCTGCAAGTGTGTTCAAAGGAGCCCCTCACGAGGTACGCCTTCCCGGCCGCCCCAGGGGCCGCTCCAGCCCTGCTGCCCGCTGCCCGGCGCCCATCAGAAGAGCCGCTGGCCTTTCTGCTCTTGGGTCTTCAGGTCCCTGATGGTCTATCTTGGTAAATGACCACGTGGAAGAGCGGGTCTCTCAGATGGAAAACCACTGTGTGGCCAAAGCCTTGAAGGGGGCCTGGTTTCTTGCCCTGTTTCGCTGGAGAGCCTTGACACAGACATGGGGAACAAGTCTGTCCTGTCGGAATCCTGCTTTCACCCCTGAGCTGGCTACTCAGTGGTCACCTTGACCAGGCTTCCCTTGAGTGGTCCACTTTGGTGGAGTTTCTTCAGAGCTTTGCCAGTTCCGTCAGTGCAGGGGAGTGAGGAGGGAGCAGCCGGCCTCTGTTTCCTCTTCTTGCTGTCACACTAGTGCAAAGGCCAGAGTGTCCCTGCATGAAGTCCCCACGTATCTGTAACAGTGCAGGTGACCTGAGTGTGAGGGCCACTCCGCAAGGTCCTGGGTCCTGGGTCCTGGGTCCTGGCTGGGTGTCAGCACTTCACACGAGGGGTGCTGGGTCAAGAGACTGCTGTCTCTGCCCAGGGTGGTGGCCAGGAGCTGACCCTTACTGCTTCTGCCATGGCAGCTCCTGCTCAGCCACCTGCTGGTCATTGTTGCTGATGTCTTCCTAGCAGCTGACCAGACGGACCCTGGCGGGTGGACGATGAGGGAGGCTGTAGCCGTGATTTGAACGGCAGAGGAAGCCTGATGCGCCCCCTTTCACACTGTCCTGAGGTGATTTGTATGGATCCGTATCTGAGGGTGCATGGCACTGTGCTTGTCCCTGTTAGAAGTGGCCTCTGTTACCACACCTGCGCTCTGCTTTGGGAATGAGTGAGGCACAAGTCCAAGGCAGGACCACCCGGGGCGAAGCAGGGAGGAGGGCGTGCTCCATAGGCCTGCTCCTCAGCCTCCAGAGGGGCCGTGCTGAAGGGCACAGCTGGCCTCCAGAGGGAGCCGCAGAGGCCAGTCCACACAGAGCTCTGCCCCTCCCCCACTAGTCTTTGAAACTGATGCTGACCTCTCTGCTGGGGACTCTTCACTGCAGGTTGAGGTCCGGGTTCTGGAGGGCACTCGGCACCCCTCACAGCTCATCTCTTCCTTCCAGCTTGTCTGGTGTAGCTGCACTCCTGTGTGTGGCCTGTGCCCTCCAGGCCTCCCCTGCTCTCCTCCAGGCCTTGCTGCTCCCCAGCCCCAAGCAGCCCCAGCCCCCTGTGTCCAGTTCCCCAGGCGTCCCGTCTTAGGTTGGGAGACCGTCTTTCAGAAAGCTGTCTGCAGATGCTGTTGGGCATCTTTGGAGGGTACACGCAGGTCATAGAGGCGCAGTGGCTCACACCTCCACGATGTGTAGCAGGAGCCTTTGGGGAAAGAAGAACGAATGAGAGGGAACGGGCCCTGGAGGGCTGAGTGACCTGGGTGAAGGCACCACCCCTGCCTGTCAGTCCTGCCCGTCCCTCCTGCCCCTTCCTGGCTCACACCTCTGGGCCGGAAGGCCCCTGCAGGGCTTGTAAGCGTGGGCCTCACACGTGCGATTGAGTCACTCCCCCTCCTGTTTTCCAGATTCTCATTCAGATTGTGGATGCTGCTTCTGTGATCACTTGGGATTTTGACGTGTGCAAAGGCGACATTGTCTTTAATATCTATCACTCCAAGAGGTCTCCGCAGCCCCCCAAGAAGGACTCCCTGGGGGCCCACAGCATCACCTCTCCAGGCGGGAACAACGTGCAGCTCATAGACAAGGTCTGGCAGCTGGGCCGCGACTACAGCATGGTGGAGTCGCCCCTGATTTGCAAAGAAGGAGAAAGTGTGCAGGTAAAGTCACGTGTTCGTGACGCTCTATGGGGGCCTCCTCTTGACAGTGGGTGTCCCTGCTTTGCCCCACCCCGGTGGCTACTGGAGGCTCTGCTGTTGGTGGAGGGCAGGGTGTGCCTAGCTGCCAGGCCAGAAAGACCCAGGAATCCCCGTGGGTCTCGGGCCCTGAGCGGGAGCTCCCACCCAAGAAGGGTGCAGGCAGCCCAGGACTCCGCTGCACAGAAGGGCCGTCTGGCAGGAGAAAGTGTGTACACACACCGCTGGCCTTCAGATGACATGCGCTGGATGGGACTTGAGGGGTTGCCCTTGTCTTTGTCAGAGGAGAACCATGGAGAGGAGCAGAACTTAGGGAGCAACTTGCTGGTGGCCAGGCACACTGGTCTACATCCAGATGCTCTGCGGCTCACCTCAGCCTTAAGGGTGCCGCTTTCCGGTCTAGGCAGCGCCCCGGGTGCCTCTGGCCTTCCATAGTAGAGATGGGATTTTGCAAGGTGACAGTTGGGAGGGGAGTTCCTGTGGCCTTCCCAGCTCTTGTTGGAGGCCTTGGGACAGGCCTGATCGTGGATGGAAGGATGTTGTTGAAGTCCTTCCTGATGGTGATCCAGATAGCAGGTCTCCAGTCCTGTCCCAGACGATCACTGACTGCTGTCGCGTCCCCCTGGGGCCGGGAGACAGCGCCCCGGCACTCGGCAGCCCCACTGTGGGATGGGGCTTGTCAGGAGTCCTCCTCATCCTGCTTCCCCCGCTGCTCCAGGGCTCTCATGTGACCAGGTGGCCAGGCTTCTACATCCTGCAGTGGAAGTTCCACAGCATGCCGGCGTGTGCGGCTACCAACCTGCCCCGGGTGGACGACGTGCTGGCCTCCCTGCAGGTGTCCTCACACAAGTGCAAAGTGATGTACTACACAGAAGTGATCGGCTCCGAGGACTTCAGGTCTGGGCTCCCTCCCCACACAGGCGTCCTTGAGGGTGAGGGTGCTCAGCAGAGGCCCCAGAGCCGGCTGTGCGCAGCAGGGATGGTGGGTCCGGCCTCCTGGGCAGCGCTGGGCCCCTTCCTTGGCTCTGACTGCACAGCTGTGGCGAGGGGTGTCAGAGCAGCAGCGCACGCAGCCTTTGCCTGTGCATCGTGTCAGCTGTGTGTGGGCCGGGGTAAGCTGTCCCTGGATGGGACGCTCGTGGCCCATTCCCCCTGACTGGGCGGGGGCGGCATAGAGGGGGCAGAGAGCAGGATGGGTGGGAAGCCCGCAGCAGTGTGGACAGCGGGCGCCTGTGGCTGGGTCCTCACACCTCTTCTCCCTGCATCTGCAGAGGCTCGATGACCAGCCTGGAGTCCAGCCACAGTGGCTTTTCCCAGCTGAGCGCCACCACCACCACCTCCAGCCAGTCTCACTCCAGCTCCATGATTTCCAGGTAGTGCCGCGAAGCCTGTGTCCACTGTGTGGAGGGGATGGCCGCGCCTCGACAGCCAGCTGTGCCGGCCGCCCACCGACGTTGAGCAGCCTCCTCTCGCCCTCTAGGTAGCTCTAGCCATCCAGATGGTAAACTAGCCACGCCGTCCCAGAACTGTCGACAGGTAGTCTTAACTCTGACCCTGACCTTAACTCGATAGCCATAGATTTTATACACAGCGTGCACAAAATCAAACCAGAGCGCAAGGGCTCTCTCGAAAGAAAAATGGTTTATATTGCCAGTTAAGGAATTGACTTCGTCTCAAATATTGATGCAAAAAATTTTTCCAACAAGCTCCACCTTGTCCGCTAGTGAATGACTTCCCATGACGTCTTCAGAGCCAAGCCCACCTCCTCCCAGGGAACAGAAGCCCCCAGCTGCTTGCCCTAAGCTGCACCGCGGTCCTTGTGGCTCCCTGTTAGTCGAGATGGTCGGTGGATCCGGTGGAAGCCCCCCGAGTCCTTTCCTCTGGAGGACTCGGGCAGCCTGTAGCAGCACCTAGTCCTAGGGCCGACCTGCTGCTGTTCCTGAGTGGGGCTGGTGGCTCAGGAGGGGTTCTCGGGGGCGCCCGCAACTCCGGGAAAATGCCACCATCATTAAACATTGCTTTCTCTCTCTCCTTTTCAAATCTTTCGATATATTTCAGAGTAGAATTTTTCTGTGAACTTGGGTGGAGGTGTTCTCCCTTTCCCTCTGGGTGCCGCTCTTCCCACCCCTCCTGCGTGCTCTAGCAGCTCGCTGTGCTCGGCCACTTCTGCTCCGGCCATTCTTTAGAGGGTGTTCTGGAAACAGCCATATTTGCTGTTTGGAAGCTGTGGCAGTGAATGTTAGCTGCCAGCAGGCTCCCGCAGGGTCACTTGAGGAGGGCATGGGGCTGTAGGAGCCCTTTGCGTTTGTAAGTGGAAACTTAATGCGTGTGCAGGTGCTTGTGGGTGCGCGCAGCAGCCGGAAGCTCAGTTTGAGTCACAAAGGAGTCCTCGGAAGCAAATCCGAGTATGAGATCGGTTTGCTTTTTACGTTTTCTTTTTGATTTCCAACTACCAAGCCTACTTTGCCCTCTTACCCCCCTCCCCCAGTTTTTAATGAGAAAGGCACGTTATCTATGAATCTGTCCAGGAGTCACATAGGGTTGGTTGTGTGATGAAGACGTGCAATGTGTGTTTTGTGTGGCAGGGGTTTTGAAAATGTGCACCACGCCACACAGCCTTCACAGTCCTAGATCGCGGTGCTCTGACTCAGCCTGGGCATTGGGTGAGCCGCCATGTGACCAGAGAGCTGTGTGGAGGCCAAGTGTGCACCCCATGAGTAGGTCGGGTGAGCCTGGGAGAAACTGACTGCCCCGCTCCTGGCCAGAGGAGGCCTCTGGCTCCTGTGCCTGTGCACCTTGAGGCACACGCGGACCCCCCGGGTCCCGCCTGCCCTTGCCCTGTAAGGCAGCTCGCTGACACCGAAGCCTCGTTCCCAGAGCATGGCAGGGCTGGCCAGCACATCTGCGCTGTCAGAGCTTCCCATCTCCAGTTACAAGGACCTGAGGATGGTCCCTCTTCTCTCTCTTCCTGTCTCTCTCTCCCTGTCTCTCTCCCTGTCTCTCTCCTGTCTCTGTCTGTCTCTCTGTCTCAGATGGCAATTTTGCTGACAGCTGCCAAGAAAGTGCTTCACTCACCCGTCCACACGTGCCCAGAGGTGTTTCTAGAGCATTTGACTTGCAGCCATGCCCCACCCCAGGCTGAAGACGCGTTCCTTTTAGTTGGTTCAGAAGTGGAACTCTTTTATCCCCAGAGAGCTGACTGTGTCTCTGAGACTTGAGAGCAGCATGGGACTGCACGGTGCCCGAGGCCCTCGGGAGCGTGGTGGCCCTCGGGAGCATGGGGCCCCTCGTCTTGTGAGGGATCGGGCACAGGGTTCCCTGTGCAGCTGCGCGTCTCTCGACGTCTCGTGCCCTGCCGCTCTTGAAATGCTGCTGTCATCTCCCTTTGACGCTCCAATGATTCTGTTGGTTCTTCCTTCTATTACTAGTGTCTTAATTCACTTTCCTAAATCCATTATTTGCATATCAGAATTCCCTAAATGTTTTGTAAACATATTACCTCACTCTTGGTAATACAATACTGATAGTCTTTAAAAGATTTTTTTATTGTTACCAATAATAAATGTGAACTGTTTAAGAAAAGAGTGTCTTTCTTATTGTCAAAGAGTCTCAGTGTCTCTCTCTCTCTCTCTCTCTATTTTGGTACTGGGGATTGAACACAGGCCAGCCCTTTATATTTTTCACTTTGAGACAAAAGACAGTCTCACTAAGTTGTTCAGGTGCTTAGGACCTTACTGAGTTGCTGAGGCTGACCCCTAACCTGCGGTCCTCCTGCCTTAGCCTCCCGAGACACTGGGATTGCAGGTTGGCCCCACCACACCTGGCTTCAGAGTCCCTCCTGAGTGTGAAATTCACTGGAGACTGCAGAGCTGAGGGAAGGAGAGGTTTTCCAAGGCCAGAGGACCAGTGCTCTGAAGTTCAAGGAAATGCTTACCTTGGCAGGACTGTCAGGGGAGAGTGGAGCTGAGCCAGTGCCCCTGTGAGAAGAGAGACCCAGTGGTGGCGATCCGGTGTCTGGAAGAAGCCATGCTGTGTCTCTTCTGTGGCCGTCATGGTGTGCTTGATGGGGTGTTTCCTTATGAAGCAGGTGCCTCGGGGAATGGAGCAGGCAGGCGTGGCCTGCGGAAGGCTGGGTTGCCTCATCCCAGCTCCCCTGCCATCAGTGGATCTGTAGGGACAGCGGAGCCCAGGCTGCGGAGTGGGCTCTTACCCTATGCAGCACAGGGCAGGCCGGGAAGACCATGGCCGGCTTGCTAGGGCCCAGAATCCAGGGGTTATTCCTTTTCCTCGCTAGGGTCCGTCCTGGGGATCCACCAAGGTGTCTAGCCATCATGTGGGGTGGGAAGCCTGGGCATGTGCTGCAGCCTGGTGACGTGGCTCAGCCTGGATGACAAGTGTGTCCACAGACAGCCGGACTGGGTAATTTCCTAGCCCGAGTGGCACCCACACCACTCGCTGGTGACAGCCAGCTTTCTTCAAGGGGATGGAAGGCTTTTATGGAATTCTGCGTGTTCCTAAGTCAGACCAGCTTCCCGGTGGCCTTTGGCTTGCTGGTCTGGTACTCGGTGAGAACCAGAAGCGGTATGGAAACAAGCCAGTCGGGATTATCTCAGCCATCCCTTGACTGTCTTCAGAAAGTGCCCCTGGAAGGGAGTGTCCTGCACAGTGCTCCTCGCCATTCACCTTGGAGGACGGAACTGCGGTGTGCCAGATCCCTGTAGGAGCACAGGCTGGCCTTAGGCTGTGGCAAACCAGCCAGCATGGCCTTGGAAGTTAGGGCTAGGGAAGCCAGATTCTGGGAAGATGGTGGTGGCATCCCCACAGCCACACAACTAGGCTACACAACCTAAAACCACAGTAAGCTGAACTGTATGCTTTAAAGTCGCAAGAACAGCCACGCTTGTTGTATGAACAAGGACATCCAGTGGACATGGTTTATGACAAAGCCAGGTGATAGGTGCCCCAGGACCCAAGACAAGCAGAGGTCAAACCACCAAGAGCCGTAAGATGCCTGTGACCCCAGGTTCTCAGTGCTGGAGGCGAGGCAGGGGTTGAGAGCAGCAAGACAGGCTGGGCTGGCCACTCTCCTGGAACCCCCGTGGCTGACCAGCGCAGAGCCCTACGGACAGGTCTAGGAGAAGCAGAATGGGCCCTTAGGACCCTAAACTGACCTGCCAGGACTCCCTCCTAGAAAGGTCCCCTGCGGAGGAATATAGATCCAGAGGAGGGGACGAGTCCAGGGGGGTGCAGGACCCCCTAAGAGCAGGTGCACATGTGTCTCAGATCCCACCAAAGATACAGAAGAGGGAGCTCTGAGCTGGAGACGCTGTCTCCAGCCCACCTTCTTCTGAAAGCTGGAAACGTTTTCACAGGAAAATGAGCACCCAAAGGTCTGGACGTCAAGGCCAGGCGAAGCCAAGAGGCACCGCAGGGCACCTCAGTGGGGGACGTGTGCCTGCCAATGGGTGATGGCCCAGCATTAAGACTCGAATTTTAAAATGTGAACTGACACGAAGGAGATGACAGGAGACGCAGGAAACACACGAGAATTAGAAAAACTCGGAAATGAGCTGGCACAAGAAAACATGAATGAAAGAAATTCAGAAATGTGAGACGCGAAACCCAGCAGAGTATGGTTTTACCATCGGAGGAAAGGAACAGGTGGAAAGACTTAGAAAGTGGCACGTGGAAGGTAAGCCAAGACCAAGCCTGGGTGACACGGGAAGAGTGAGACCCGAGAAGGACCAAAATCAGGAAGTATTTCCGTAGACAGGCTGAGTATTTTTTGGTACTGGATCCACACCCCTGGCCTTGCCCCTGCCTTTTTTTTTTTTGAGTCAGGTCCTCCCCAAGTTCCCGAGGTTGACTTAGAGCCCGCCATTCTCCTGCGGCCGCTGGCTCCCTAGTGCTGGGATTACCTGTGTGCACCATGGTGCCCGCTGGAGGTTTTTAAAGACTCACCTTGGGGCATTTAGGGAGGGAGATCAGGTTTTTTGAGGACTGAGCTTTAGGCCAGAAGCAGAAGGAATGATTATGACTCCTCAAGGGAAGAGTGAGCCGAGGGATTTTTGTCCAATAAATGGACTGCAGTTAGGAGCCCTGGTGCATCTGCCAGGTTGTGTGGGAGAGCGGGTCCTCCGTGGGCCGGCCTTGGGGCTCTAGAGAAGAGGCTGCAGACAGCCTGCGTGAGTGCACGGGGCTGGTGTCAGGCTGGGAAGGAGGACAGGGTGCCGGGCGGCAGGTGGCCTACTACTGCTTTTTAGAGTAGAGGGAGCATAGGCAAACATTGTTAAGTTTTTAGTGGTTTTTTTTTTTTTTTTTTTTGGGACCAGGGATTGAACCCAAGTCAATCATTAACCATTGAGCCACATGCCCAGCCCTTTTTATATATTATTTAGGGTCTCACTACGCTGCTCAGGGCCTCACCAAGTTGCTGAGTCTGGCTTTGAACTCCTGATTCTCCTGCCCCAGCCTCCTGAGCTGCTGGGGTCACAGATGTGAGCCACTGTGAAGTTTTTAGTGACTATATTAGCAGCTTTATTAATACTGTCATTAGGCCAGGCCTTATGGCACCCATCTGTCATCCCAGTGACTGGAATCTCGGCAACTTAGCCAGACCCCATCTCAAAGTAGAAATTTTTAAAAGAGTTGGAGACGTAGCTCAGAGGTAGAACGCTCCTGGGACCGCCCCTAGTACTGCAGTGATGATGCTGTCATTGGGGGAGTGTTGATGTGACCATTATGGACGTTCTGGTTCCAGGGTCGTCCTTCCCCATATCCAGGCCTCTCTGTGGAAGACCCCCTGGGACAGAGGCTGCCAGCTCTGTCTCCACCCTGAACTGGAAGGTTACTGGGCGGTCCTGGGCTGCCCCAGGAACCACCAGGCTAACTGCCCTTTTCTAGAGGAGCACATTCAGGTGATAATAGCTTTAACACAAGGAGGTGACAGTAGCCAGGACAGCAGTTCCATCTTCCATCTGGGGATTGAGCCGTGGTGTGGCAAGGGGCATGTGGCAGTCCTGACTAATGCAGCATCTTTTTGGCTTGTGAGGTTTCTTTATTTTAGGATAAAAAGGTTTGTTGTTTTTTGTGTGCTTAGTCAGGACTTTACGTGGGTCAGTTCACCTGGAAGGAAAGTCAACAGTGGTTCTTTAACTGGAGACTCAAGTTTTCTTCTGATCAAGTCCTGGGACAGGGACAGCTGTGACCTGTTGCAGGCACCGAGTTCTAGGGCTGCGTCTGCAGGAGCTCAAGTGTGACCCACATCCTGTGGCCTTGCAGGGACAGTAAAGCAGGGCACTCATGGCAGAGAGGGCAGCAAGGCCCAAGCCGGCCCTAGTCCTGCTCGTGCCCTGGGGCTCTGGCTGCCTCAGTTCAGCCTGGCTCCTGCAGTGGCTCTGCCGTGGCTCCTGCCGTGGCTCCTGGGACCTTGTGGCCTCCAGGCAGCTGGACAGTTGCCCGCTCTGCCCTTACCTTTGGGCTTAAGACCCAGTCCCCAGGACCTAGTTTTGACAGGGACATGGAAACTCTCAGGAGCCCTTCCTGGGTCCCTATGCTAGCCCCTGCTACTCGCTGTCCATGAGAGACGCGAAGGACAGGAAAAGCTGTTGCTGGGCGCGCTGGGCTCCTCTGGAGAAGCAGCGAGGGAGAGTCCTAGCTCAGTCCTGATGGACAGAGCAGCTGCCGAGAAGGCCCTGGCTCCGTCCACTCCCCTGAGGGCACGTTGCGCCCAGAGCTGGAAGCGAGGCCCTGCTGGGGCTGCCGAGCCCTTCCCCTTCCACGGCCAGCCCACACCACAATCGGAGGGACCCCGTGCTGCAGTTGGGGGAGACAAGCCACAGTCCAGAGGGGGCCTAGGAAGGGGGACCTGGCTCTGCCAGAGTGCTCCTCCCCTGGCACCAGCTTGGCCTCATGTCACCTGGCCAAAGCCCTGGCGGTGGGACGACGGGGGCTTTGCTCCCTGGGCTCTGCCTGGGCCAGGGCCGTGGAGGAGCATTGGCTTCCGTGCCTGCAGAAATCCCCCCGAGTTTCGTGCCTTGGCCTGACTCGGCAACAGGGTTTCCAGGCGTTGGTCAGACATGATTCTCGTGTGCCATAGTTTTGGATCCAGAATGTCCCCCAAAGGCCATGTGTTGAAGGCCTGTCTTGGGGTGGCACTGTTGGGAGATGGTGGAACCTTTAGGAGCTGGGCCCTCGGCACAGGCCCAAAAGCAGGGGGGTCAGCTGATCGTGGCCTGCAGCCTCCAAAGCCATGAGCCAGAATGTGGCCTCGAGTTGGCCCTCGGATCCGTCACTTTGGTGCCCAGCGCTGACAAGGCAGGTGTCTCTGGGTGAGTTCAGCCTCTGGTTGGTAGGTGGAGTGAAGCAGCTCCTGATGGGGGTGGACCTCGTCCACCAAGGGCCTGACAAGCAGAAAGGCTGACCCTCCCCAGAGGAAGAGGCTTCTCCCACTGCCCCCTTAGAACAGGGCACAAATAGGACAGCAAAGGCACAGCTTCCCCGCAGGGCACTTGAGCACAGCCCTGGGCCCTGGACCAGCAGGGCCATGCCCGCCCCTGTGCCAAGCT